TCAGGAAGAATGGTTTTCAGATTGGCCTGTCTGGCGCTGTCCCTGTAGCAGTGACCTTCGTCGGACGGGAATTTATACTGGCTGAATGGTAGCCCCAGTGGTATATCACTGTTATGATGAAACAGACATCTGACATAACGGCTGCGGTAAATCCTGCAAGGAAGGCAGCCAGTAATTAAAATAGCGCAGCCTGATACCTCCACAACGCAGGCATCCGGCAGCTTATTTCTAGACAGAAGCAGAAGTGGTTTTAAAACTTCAGAAAAAGTGAAAAGAACACAAAGAAATGAACCTAAATGCCCCCCCCACCCCACCCTCAACTCAGACCTTCTCACCTTCCTCTTCTTATGAATTCAGCAACCCTACACCAGCAAACATCTCATTCAGCTGCAGTACAGAGTTTCCCATCCCCTTCTGCCAAAAGACACCTGGCTCTCCCTGGGACATACTGATGAGAATTTCAGTGTTAGCCACTGAATTTAATTCTACAGTTTCCTCACCGTACACAGGTATTGGAAACCAATTAATATCCACAGAAAAGCAGAACTTGAAAACAAATTAAAAACACACAGAAGGCATTTTTGGACCCTTGCTTCGCTCTCCTAAGACTATTTTAGCAAATTCAGCATGAATCTTAAAAAAAGATACACACAAAGAACGCTAACACCACAACTGAAAAAAATCCACAAATGTACATGTTCATCCTTAAATATGAACATATTTTATTCTTCTATACAGAGAAACAGGGTGTTATCTAACGTCACAGCTGCCAAAGCCACTTTGAAAGACCTACAAAATGGAACAAATTGCTTTACTAGAGTTGTTGTATTTGTGTGTTGCCACAGATAAAGGCTCAGGCTGGGTCGGGAAACAGTGCATGTTCTTATAATAACCAGTTGCAGGCTGACTCATGAATTATTCATGAATATGGAACAATAACATAAGCCAGTGGGCTTTAGAGAAAGAGTGGGATGTCACAGCAGTAGTATGTAATAACCTGATCAATTATAAGCCAGCATCTCCACCCACGCGCTCTGATATTTGGCAGCTATGTCTAAAACGCTGCACCTTGACAACATTAGGGCAGTCGAGAAGAATATTCATAATTCACATGGTTTTGCAGCATCAGTTCCTAGATATCTATTCTTTCCTTTTGGGGGGAGCGGAGGTAAATGGTTTAGTAAGGGTGAGGTGCCCTTGAGACGGGTCCTAATCTCTTCTGATTATTTTCCCGTAAGTGACAGTACCGTACGCGGACAGGTGTGTCAATCTGGGTCAAGCAGACTGGGTGGTTGTTTTGGATTTCCTGTTCGCTTGAACATCCAGCTCTGGCAGATGTCGCCCAAATGAAACAGCAGGAGTCACGCGCCATTTCCCCCATGAAGAACAGATCTCCTCGATGTGTGTCCTTCACATCTGCTGTTGGGTTACAGCAGCTGTAGCATTATCCAGGTGACTGGATGCTAAGCTGCATTAAATGCAGTTGGATGTTACCCACTGTCTTTGGCACAATGCTTTTCCCTGTAATCCTACCATGAAAGTTAGACCAAAGACACATTTACTGATGCAAAAATGGACGTCACAATGATGGACTAGGTCAAGTCGGAGCTCATCAGCATCCACCATTTCCATCTACTTGCTCAGTCGTCATTATAGAAGATCACCTCCAGATCGACACCTTCTTCAGAACCTGGAATCCTAGAGATTTATTTCTTTTTCAACATCAACTGCTTTTATTGACCGCCAAAGGCAACCATAGCTGAAGTTTTTTTTCCAGACATAATCAGAGGCGAAATCGATGCGAGCCGAGGCTCTTCCCTCCTCTGGTGTCTCTCATTCTCTGGGCCGCGCCAAGTGCCAAGTGAATATGAGACAGACCGGCGGTTGGCCTGCCGTGGGACGCTCTAAAATGAGGTCGTGGGGGTTTCCATGAACGCCTGAGGAACGAGGGAAGGACACGGCTTAGTTTGTGACGAACGGTGGACAGGAATAAATGGGAGAGGAACCCAAGCCTGATAGCCTTACTCCAGTCCCTTTTGCTGGAGGGAAGATTGAATATCTAATGGTGTGGAACACCTAGAAAGCAAATCCCTGGCTATTCAAGACAGGTCTCCACACATATGGTATGTGCATCCCGTTGGTTTGCTGACTGGCCACTCGAAATGTGCTTAATCATTCGCTTCGCCAAAGGATGCTCTTGATTATTTCATGCCAGCTTCTGAAATATCTTGGCACGCTGGGTCACGGACAGCACATAACCAGCAAGCGAAAAAAGCAGCATCTTTGTGAAGAGAGTTAATTACATCAGGGAGCAGGGAGGACAGACATCTGTACTGAATCGCTGACAACACAACAAGAAAACAAGCTTTTCAGTTTCTCTTAATACCACTGCTGAAAGGACTGATGGGGAAAGTGTGAACAGGAAGTGGACGGTAAGTGGATGGGAAGTGGACAGGAAGTAGACGGGAAGTGGATAGGAAGTGGACAGGAAGTAGACGGGAAGTGGAATGAGACTTTTTTACAATGATTACTTTGCAATTGTCATTTTACATGAAAACTCATGTACACATGGAGATGCACATTCCACATGCATACACAGTCATACAAAATGATTTCAATCAAAATGACAGATATAAGAAGAATGCCTGTGTGAGACAATTAAATCAACTGATTCCTCAAGGGAATTCATTCTTGTGATACTGAAAATAATTATCTCCCCCAACCCTGCATATAAAACAAGCCCAGTCGTCCTGAGGCATATCCAGGGGTAACTAGCACTGGACTCATGAAACATCAGCATCCCATGGAATAAAACCAGGCAACAAAGCAACCCCCCCTATTCCACTGACTTTTCTCACCCTGGTCAGAGCCTTCAAATCAGCAGGCAGCACCCGCAGACCCCTGAGGTTGCTGGGACCTCACGTGATGGGTGTCCCACATCGCGTGAACGGGGGACACACTGCTAGGTCATTCATTCCCGCCAGTTTGACGGCTCTAAGTTCCAGAACTGATGAAGAGAGACCGGGTCAGGAAACAAACAAAGATCTAAACACCAGCTTGAAGGTTCTCTCAAACACTAATGCCACGTTCAGGAGAGTACCTACATCTCTGCTGGGCCCTTAAGGAAGGTCCTTAACCCCCAAAACCTGCTCCGGGGCACTGGGTGGACGGCTGACCCTGTGTTCAGACCCCAAGCTTTGCTCTAACCTCAGTATGAGTGTATATGTCTCAAATGAGAGCAAGATGGGATATGCAAAAACTGACACATTTCAAAGTAGCTGGTCTTATACAAAAGGCTAATAAAGCTTTATGTAATTTGTTTCATATTAGGGCAATTTCCCAGAATCCTCATCTTCATCAAGAAGAAAACTACACTGTTGTGCAAAAGTCTTATGCTGTCAAAGAAAATAATGTTTAAATGATCTTCCTGTTGGTGTAAGCACTTCTTTACACAGCGTGTAGTTAGAGTATGGAATAGTCTTCCTGCTAGTGTAGTGGAAGCTAAAACCATGGGTTCCTTTAAATCAGAGCTAGATAAGATTTTAACAACTCTGAGCTATTAGTTAAGTTCTCCCCAAACGAGCTTGATGGGCCGAATGGCCTCCTCTCGTTTGTAAATTTCTTATGTTCTTATGTTCTTACGTCAAAGTGTGTGAGCTTAGCCGTTTTGGGACCTTTCCTAAAGTCACCCAGAATTTGCAACAACCATCCAACCGCTAGCAGACCTCGTATAGCTAATCAATATCTCATTGGCTTTTTAAACTGATTAATTAATTAAATGAGCTGGTGGTGAAATTTACTAAATATATGGAATGGCTGAGGTGCCCCTGAGGAAAGGTTAGGGAACTGAAGCTGTGTTCATATAGCCATCCAACTATATATCAGCAGCTTCTTGGAGAACAGAAAAAATTCTTACTAGTTTTTATCGTGTTACTCTTAATGGCACATATTCTAAGGTTAAATTGTGAGCAAATTCTGAGGAAATATACACTTGCTACCCTGATAAATAGCTCTAAACATTTCCTTTGACTGCTAAAATCTTTTGCACAGTTCTGTACATCAGCTGCAACAAACTGAGGACGCATTACTCACCGAGAGCAAATTCTTAATGACTGTCATGCCATTGTTTTATCACGTTCTAAATTATATGCACGCAGCATGAAAACCACACACAGACGCACACATTTCTAAGAGCGCCATTTTGCACATGTGCCTATTTCCTATGAACAGTTTCTTTGTGCTCAAATGTCTATAATTTCCCTTGGTTTTTCCCAAGCCTTCAGAAAATAAGCCGTTTCTGTGAAGATGAATTGAATGAGGGCTGCTGTGAAGGAAGGAGAAGCGGAGCTTGTCTCTGTGAGCCCGCAAATGCCTTCAGGGTCATTGAGCTTTAATTTCCCAGGACCTGCTTCCCATTATGGTGAAGAGACTAACCTGAACATCAAAGGAGAGCAGAAGTGTATGTCTGATGCTGAACTGCACCTGTCTCACACAGTGAGGTGAGACAGGTGCGGTGAGTGCAGTGAGTCGGCTGTTCATTTAACCAGCCAGTTCAACACGACGGGCAAGTGAGGTGGCAGCGTGTCCAGAGAAATAAGGTCCCTGAGTCGGAGGTGAACCCCCCCCCCCCAACCCCACTTTTCCATCCTCCTCCACCTGTTGGTGCAGCAGATGCAGACAGAAGACTGTTTGGATATGTGGCATCTGATCGGGGAGGGGGTGGAGCGTAGCTTTGGCGGATGGCCCTGGGGGGCGGGGTTAGACACCTCCATGGGCAAAAACTGAGACATCACTTTTGATCACCCGCACCATGTTTCGCGTACCCCCCCCCCCCCCCCAACTTACCCAGACTCTCATTCCCACCAGAAAATTACCCCCAGTATCCCATATCCCATCCAGACCACTTTCACAACTCAGAATGAAATCGCTTGGATGTGAAGAGAAGAGCCCCAAATACTGTCACTTATTTCCTGGAAGATTGAAGGAACCCCAGCACTTACTGAAGAAGATGTATTCAGTGTAGCTGCTCCAGATCTTGTCGTCCCGCCGCTGGCTGACGAAGCCGGCCGTCCCGGTGGAGTTGCAGGCCGCCATGTGGAAGCCGGCCTCCGAGAGCCGGTCGAAGGCCTGCTCCAGGTAGGTGAACTTCAGGTAGAAGCGAGACGTGTATTTCTCCGGCGGTCGGTCGGGGTCCCGGCTCTCGTTCAACGTGTTGCCGAACACCTCCTTGGCCAGGGCGATTCGGCCACAGACGGCGATCCGCGGCACACGCCGGAACCTGGCGTCGGTCTGGCCGTCGCGGACGGCGGCGTACGAGCCGCGGTATCCAACGGTGAGGAAGCCTGAGCACCGGTCGGCGCCGGAGGCCGAGCGGGCCGGCTCGCTGCTCTGAGAACTCTCCTCCAGGTCGCTCAGGCAGCCCTCGTCGTTCACCGAGCCCTGCTTGGGCACCCGTGGGGCCAGGAGCCGGAGCAGCTCGGCCAGCTGGAAGTGCTCGGCCTCCCGCTGGAGCCGCTCCTTCTCGGGGAAGTGCTCAGGGAGGACGAGCTGTCGGTCGCGCAGGAAGTCCAGCACGTAGCGGAAGAGGAAGCCGTCGCGGTCGATGAAGAAGCGGCCGCGGCTGTCGCGCGGCAGGTCGCGGAGTGGCCGGCGGGAGAACATGGTGTGCAGCGTGGTGTCAGGGACGCTGACCAGCGTCGAATGCTTGGTGACATACACCTGACCCCCCACGTTGAGCTCCACCACCTCCGGGAAGGAGCCCGACACCTCGCTGATGGGCAGGACGCTCTCCCTCAAAGCCATGACCTCCCCTGCCCCCACCCCTCCCCCCAGGAGGAAAGAAAGAAAACCAAAAAGTCCAAAATGGAGGAGTTTCTTTACCTTTTTTTTTTTTTTTTGCTGAAATCACAAACTAAATGTAAAAAGTGCCCCCAAAACGCAGCAAGCGGCTGCCTGAGAATCTCCTGGTGTGTGGGGGACTGGCTCAAGTTTGGGAAAGAGTGCTACATCCCTGCTGGAGGAGAGACGAGAGGGGAGAGAGAGCGATAGGGAGAGAGAGGGCGCACAGAGAGAATGAGAGAGGGAAGACACACAGAAAGAGTGAGGGAGAGAAGTCACACTAGCAGTGAGTGAGCAGAGGAGTGGAGAGAGGCAGAAAAAAAATCCAAGCTGAGCAACTCTCAGCATCATTAGTCCAAGGACTGGGGAAGCCATGGTGACATAATGTTCTGTGTGGCACCGCCTTTTAAAGGAACAGTACTCGCCTTTATAGCTGACACACTCCAGCTGTATTAAACCCACAGACCACAGAGGACAGTTAAAAGGGGCTTTTGTTTCTCAGGTCTGTGTGTAGCGGTCAGCTTTTAAATAATTCAGCTACACAAGGATAAATTCTTTTCATTTAGGACAGAATAAACATACAAGGTCCAGAACAATGGTCTGTGGGCAGAAATCAATGACTGCATAAATAAATGTTGGGTAACACTGAACACAACCGCACAACTACAGCAGGGTTCAGCTCAGAAATCAGGCTTTAGCACTTAGCCTGTAGGATAAGAAGGGAATTTGATGGATCCAATCCCTGGTGGCATCATACAGTAAGATTCTTATCCTCAATTATGATGAATAATAAATAAAACCTGAATAATTAAAAAATATATATATTATTATTTTAAATGAAAAATCACGAAATGGATCAAGCTTTACTGGTTTAATTCCATCTGCCTTATAAGACAGGAACAGGAGACATAAATCTCAACCTTTATGAGAACAGCATATATCAAGTGCTTAACAGGGATAGGTGAATAGGTGAAACCACATATTTAAATATTACACTTTACAAGCACATAATATTATGCTATACAGCACATACTGTAGTATTCAATAATATCCACGACTTTGCCAAAATTAGATGAGGTCCACAGCACCACCTGCTGGTGCTATTCTGAACCGCACTATTATGATGTTTGTAAAATTGATTTTTCCTTACTTATATCATTCTGCACTCCAATTCCTTTACAATTCCCACTAAGATAATGCATTTGTGCATAAACTGAGATGACAGTTGGAGGATTATAGCTAAAGGCACAACCCCCCCCACCAGTATGCTTAAAGATCGTCACTGGCCATTTTCAGCGTATGTTAAATTCACGTCACACTGATGTGCTTTTTTCCATGTTTATGTTTTGTTGTTGCTGACGTGTGTTTACCCTGTGTAGTAATGTAATCACACACACACACACACACACACACACACACACACACCTTGACTCATATCTTTCTGGGGACCGTCCATTGATTTCTATAGGCAAATCCCTAATCCCAACAATGACACCCTTAACCTCTACCCAGCCCTAACCTGTTTTGATTACCCATAGGTAACCAAATAAAATACACGAAATTGGCCATTTTTAGTTTTTTCATCACAGTTACAGATTTTTTAAGGCGGAATTTCCCCTTGTCCCCACAATGTCAAAATAACAGCTTTTTTAAATCACTTTGTGAGGACATTTGGTCTCCACAATATAATGCATATATTTGATGACACACATACACACATTATATATATAGGGAGGGGGGATGGGGCATGCAAAAGATGGTGCAGCAATCAAAGGTGATAACTACTTTTTAGCTATAGAGGCGTGTATATAGAGTCGTTTTATATAAATATATATGTATTATAATGCAAATAATATATATATATATTCTGGTTTAGACTTAGCAAAGAATCTGAGAGTATTTTAAAAGTACTGTATGAATAACACAATAACATATCATTCTTAGGCTAAATTTTGAAGCTGAATTTTGTGCTGTATAACCCTCTTAAACACTGAGCTGAAGTTTCTGAAGGAACTCATGCAAGTGACCACAGAGGGACTTCTGCAAAGAAAAAAAATAATAATTAATTTTGGCCCGTATGCGATGCAGATGGCTGGAGAGTCGGCCTCCACACGTTGTCATAGTGATTTTTTTTTTTGTAGTGTGACAGCTTGCTGTGGTATCCTGCACAACCCGTCCACCCGACGATTCCAATGACGGTACGAAACAGAAGCCATCACTCTAACACATGACATTATTCAGGGAGGAGCGAGACCTACTTTGCTACTCTGGGTGCTTCAAGGATGATTTACCTTGTCAAGCCATGGGACATATTGCTTCCGTGAATTAAACCGCTGTCAATACACTGCACTGGGGGGGAGGGGGTGAAGTCCAACCAGTCTTGACTGAAAACACTTATCTTATCCAGGATTAGGACATAGTTTGTTCATCTTCTGACTTACTTCACCCTGTCTGTGGACGTATACATGCATTTCAGTTCAGTTTACTAGAATATGTGGCTAGTCAAATTAGATAGACTAAAACAAATTCATCATACTGGGCCTAGTCATTAAAAACAATTTTTAGGAAGCTGCATCATTAATCACCTCAAATATTCAGCATCAAGATAGTTTCAGGTCTTTGTTAACTGTTTCAAATATGAGGAGACTTAATTTCTAACAATTAGATGGGGCATTGTTGTCATGCATTGAGGTCTGGGACAATATTATATGAATAACAATGTCTGACTTATTTTGTAGAGACAACCTTTATCGATGTGTCAAATAAGGTTTAATGGATATCGCTGATGAAGAGCTTTTTCTACTCAGTTGAAACAAAACAGCAGAAGTTCATGCACAAGTGACTGAGATTGCTTACATGTATGCCTTGAGGGAGCTGAATAATTCATCAAGGTATTAAGGGACCGAAAATTCACAGGATGCCTGTGGCAGAATGATATCGGTCTCAGAGACACTATTACTGGAATGTGTTTTCCTCTAATGCTGTTTTAATTGAAAGTTGTAAAATAAACAAATGTAAATGCACTTTGAATTGTCAGATACGAAAACAGTGGTAATTTGTTTTCACAATGATACCACCGTAAAGTATGAAATATGTTATTAGGCTATATACTGCATTTCAATGGCTCGATAAAAATAAAACCAGTAAATCCGTATTAAACAACAAGTCTGACATTTTTATGCGAGTACCTTAAGGGCTAATATTCTTAAAACACTTGTTCTGTAGTTATGTTTACATTGGTCTCTCTGTGGGTCTATAAAACAAGGTACAATACCACAAACAACGTTTAGTTAGTAAAAGAAAGTCCCCAGACCTGAATGCTGTGAACGTTCATGACATTGCGGCTCACTTTGTGCCCAGCTACACACGATTGCAATTATATAATTTTCAGGATTTTTTCTAGCATGTTCCATCATCTGTGCTTGTAGGCTTTCATTTTATCATTTACTCAGGGGTGTCAGAAGCATTGTGAAAGGGGGGGGGGGGAACGACACAGCACTGGGTGAACTAATATTTTATGTTAAAGGTCCAAATGAATAATTATGAAATTATGATTTAATGGCGGCGACGCCCATGCATCTACTAATTTTGTTGGAAAAGAATATAGGCCTACCGATTATTTCACAAAGAATTTGTACCTAAGACTCTAAACACAAGTAAGGAAAAGGACACCCAGAGAATTAGCATAGTGATCCACTCAAACCTAACTATCTCCTGCTCCAAACCTGCCTAAACCTGCCAATTTTTACAAGAGATATTTACAACATAATAGTTTACAATTGAGCAATCTGGGGCTGCTTTAACGAGAGGCACAAATCAAGATAGGTGGGGTGAACCCGGAGTGACGACGGGGGATGGAGAAATAAAGCAACACTGACCACAGATACGGGCTTCCTACAGGAGACTATCAATCCTCTCCTCGTCACAGAAATCAATTCCCATCTAACCTTCTATTTTCATCAGCGGCAGCCCTAAGCGAGCGACACCTATACCCATCCATCCATCCATCCGTTCGTCCGTCCGTCCAAAAATGACCCACATTCAATAAACCTCAATGCAAATGATTTTACAGCACCAAGCTCATTACTCACCGGTCTTACCTGGAAGAACCTTTAAGTTCCTTCTTAACTCCCCAAGCAGCGCGTTCTTTCACTTTCCTAATTAACTACTGCGCCCACTTCAGAAGCAGAGAATACAGTAGCCTTTGGTTATGTATTATAACACAACACGTGGGCATGTTTTATCGATTTTTTCATTTAAGTAAGAACAATTAAATTATTATTATTCACTTCGACTGCGACCATCTACCAGGACGAACTGGGTAAACATTAACGGATGTATTTACTGGCAATTAACGTACGTTCAGCGCAGTTTTCGCATTCTCTTAAAGCACATCTAATGTATATTGATGTATTAACTATTAACAGCGACTAATCCATGGGTTTCTATAAGGCACAGTAACGCCTAATACGGTAAACGAAACGTGCTCTGCGAAACATAGATGCTTCCCAATAACAGGAATGAAGGGCTGCCGATCTCACGCATCTGGTGTGACACTCACGCTTTCAGACGCTCACGCAAGAAATCTTACGGCAAATCTATATTATTCCATTATAAACCTAAAATCAGCAATTAACATCAAAAGCGCTGGGGATGTTTGCAAACCTATACTTACAAGGTAATAAAACTAATTACATACATGTCGATGCGTGTGCATACTGTATGTGTGCGGACTTGTTTCACTCCAGCCAGCGGACTAAAACTGGCAACCTTGGGGATGGCGGACTGTGTTGTTTGCATTATAGATGCCTGGTTATAGTTAATAAAATAAAAGATAATGCAAATCATGTTTCATTACAAACTTCCCACGTTCGCAAATATCTTAAAAAAAATTCACTCAATAGCATCACGGGGGTTTTAATAAGTATTAATCACGCTACAAATTTTCGATGCTAAAAAACGTTGGGTTTTATTATTATAATTGGTGTAATGATTACATACATACTACCATTTAAATTGCGAGCAGAAAGTTTGTGAACGAGCCAATGAAAGCATCGCCCGGTGACACGTGACTGGAAGTTTATCACGTGAGCGAATGTTTTCTTCTCCGCTTGTTGGCAGGAAAGCCGGAAGAAAGCGGCTCATGTAAGTGTTTGCGCGGGGATCTCTGTTAATGTGATTGCATTTGCAAATATTTTAGTAGCCTTATCTTTTGTCCTTACAATTGAGACCTCTGAATTTTGATAGGAACCTGTTAACTTAGATAACTTGTATATTTCGCTGAATGACTAGCTAGTTGGTGTGCGTTTTCAAACCTTGTAATGTAACGGATTTATGTGAATGCGTTGTATCTCCAGCTTTCTCACTCCGTTCCACCAGCAGCTGGCTGTAAGAATAAAGAAAAATGAGGCTGGTAATCCTTGACAATTACGACCTGGCCAGTGAATGGGCAGCCAAGTACATCAGGAATCGCATTGTCCAATTCAAGCCTAGTGCCGATAGGTACTTTACACTAGGTTTACCTACAGGTAAAAGAGTGGACATTGTTTAATGTAGCTTACCAAATAACTGATCTAACTTCTTTTTTTTAATCTAGATTTAACGATTATTTTAAAAATTGTACCTTCCCCCCCCCCCAGGAAGCACCCCGCTTGGCTGTTACAAAAAGTTAATCGAATACCACAAAAATGGGGATATGTCTTTCAAATATGTTAAAACTTTCAACATGGATGAGTATGTTGGTAAGTTTTAATGTGCTGACCACAGCTGCTGTGGTACAGGAAGGGGGGAAAACTGGTGTGTCAGCAAATTTTCAGGAAAAGACTCATAGGGTGTGGAAAGAGGATGTAGAGGGATCTGTTATTAAGCTCATTTCAAAGTGCAGGTTGCTCACTGTCAGATTTACGTGACTCACCCTTCATTCTGACTCATGCAGATACTATGTCTTTTGAAGTAAAGCATTTAAAAAAAAAAAAAATGTGGTTTTAGGTTTTTCTTAGTTCTTTAATCTCTAAAGTAGTACCTCATTGTGCAATATGTCAAAGAAAAGTCTTCCCTTCTCTCTCTCAGGGCTACCCAGAGACCACCCAGAGAGCTACCACTCCTATATGTGGAACAACTTCTTCAAGTATATAGACATTGATCCCGCGAATGCCCACATCCTGGATGGCAACGCCGCAGACCTGCAGAAGGAATGCGAGCTGTTTGAGCAGAAGATTGCAGATGCCAGAGGGATAGAGCTGTTCGTTGGAGGCGAGTTTTAGGTTTCAAATCATTAATAAACCAGGTTGCAGTTGGGTTAGTCATGGCGTATTCCAGGTTGAATGTTGATTTTTAGAGTCACTTATTTGTCACCTTCTACAGCCCATGGATTTCAGCATTAGTTGTGCAGTTAAACAAAATGTACTGCCTGCTTAGCTTTCTGCTGGCCCTTAGTGTGACATGTGCTTTGCAGGTATTGGACCTGATGGGCACATTGCCTTTAATGAGCCTGGTTCCAGCCTTGTGTCCAGGACTCGAGTGAAGACTCTGGCTCAGGATACCATACTTGCTAATGCCCGTTTCTTTGGGAATGATCTATCCAAAGTCCCCACTATGACTTTGACTGTGGGGGTCGGAACAGTGATGGATGCTAGAGAGGTAAAACTATTTTACTTGTTTTGATAAACGTTTCGAGCAACAGGTGTAATATAAAGGCATGGAACTTGTCAACTCTAGGGTTTGGGTTCACTTCCCAGGAGGGATGGTAATATTGCCCTTTGTTTCCACATGCAGGAGCTTAGGTAGAAATTATGGACCCTAGAACAAAATGTCACCTTACTCCTGTAAAGTGCTGGGCCCCCTGAATCTGCCAGGGTATCCATGCCCCTACTGTGCTCCTTTATACATGCTTCAAATATTTAAGACGCAGTTTCCTGCAATGGAAGCTGGTCTAGATAAGGCTGTTCTCTTTGCAAATAGTTTTGTTGCATGTAAACAGTGTACCCCCCCCCCCCCCCCCCCCCCCCATGCAATTGGCTGTGCCACCTTAAAACATTATATCCATTTTACAAAACCATCCCCACTCTGTCCCCCCCAAGGTTCTGATCCTGATCACAGGAGCCCACAAAGCGTTTGCCCTGTATAAGGCCATAGAGGAGGGAGTGAATCATATGTGGACAGTCTCTGCCTTCCAGCAGCACCCAAGGACCATCTTTGTATGCGATGAGGATGCAACCCTTGAACTTAGAGTCAAGACCGTCAAGTATTTTCAAGGTGAGAAGACAAAGGGCATAATTGACAAAACTCATGAAATAATCCCCGTGTTTTGTTCTATTTCCAATTGAAGTTTGTTTTCTTTTTTTAAAGGACTCAATATATAGAATTTCTTTGCAGGTTCAAAGTCTCGTTCCCCTTTCAAGGTTCCGATGGTCAATATTAAGTTAAAAATTGAGTGTAGATAAGAATGTAGTTAATATTTTTTTTAAAAGAATTTCCACCTACCTTGATTGTCATTCTTCCTTAAGGGCTGATGCACGTGCACAACAAGTTGGTGGATCCTCTCCACAGCATCAGGGCCTACAAAGACTGAAGAAGTGCACCTAAGGCTGGCCAATGGGAAACACTCTATAGACGTCTGAAGGCGCATTATGACCTATGCATATCAGTCACTTTGTCAACACAAACGATTCTGTACTGTAGAAGGGACTCCTTCAGTCACTGTGAAGGTGCTGAGATCTGTTTGAGGCTCAGACTTGCACATCTTTCTACATTTAGTTCAAAAAAAGACATTTAGCAAGTTGGTATGTTTTCATTTATAATCTCTTTGTAGGTCCAACTCTTCAGCTAGACCTCAACATACTTAGCCAGTGGTAGGGCTCGTGCACTACACATCTGTTACTGGTTCAGATTGTCAGAACTGGGTCTCCACACTCCATCACCTTTCTCTGTAACAGGACGTGCTGAGGTGTCAGTACTGTATGTCCATACCCTGGCATATTACCATTAACCTTCTTGCACTGTGCTCAGTATCATGGTGCTCAGTGTCATGGTGAGGTCATTTACTCTACGCTCCTAAGCTGGTGCAGTCTGGTCATTCCTGTTTAATATACTGCACACAACAGCATTTGATATCTGTCTTACATTTTGCTAATTCTATTCCTGGGAGGTAAGACTCTTGCCTTTCCTCTGTGTTCATGATGAGACCACAGTAAGCAAGTGAAATGGGAGATATTGTTACCAACATTGTGCATGTGTACCTGTTTAATCTTCTCTGAGCACACAGGGGACCATTTGCGTTTTTTGTAATCCTCTCTCCTCCACCCCTTTTTCATGGCCTTCCTTGTGTTGACTTTTGGCCAATTAGGCTGCATGACACAGAGAATGTCATTCGCTGATTGCGCCTGACCACTGAGCTGTCCTTACAATAAAAAGAATTCTTGTATTTTACCAATACTGTTTATTTACATGTTGATCTTCAGCTTCAAGTATCATCAGACCATCTAGTCTCCACTTTGGTGTGAAAATTAGAGAATTTCTTTATGGACTCGCTCTGTGCTAGAACCCACTTCTTTACTTGTCCTTTCTCTTTAGGACATTGATGAAGGCGTCTCTGGGGACTTCCACATTCCCAATCATTCTCATCTTCTTTTTTCCCTCTGCCTGTTTCTTCAGCAGCTTCATTTTCCGAGTAATGTCACCCCCATACTAGGGAAAACATATCACCACTCACTGCCTTGGACAGAGGATGGTATCCAGCTCTCCAGAAGAGCTAGATCATTAAGAAGGAACCATACTTACACATTTCGCAAGAACATTCTTCCGATAGGCTTTGATGCTGTTGGAGGGCATATAGATTAGTTTTGACTATAATATGGAGAAAAAAAAAAACATACAAAAGTCCAAATGTAATTCTTGTGCAGATTCACTCATAGTATGAACAGACAACCTCTTACTAATTTGACTGGCAACTTTTGCTGGTAATTGAATAAACCTGTAATTGCATTCATTTGCTACAAATAAATCATAGTTATTTAACCCGTGCATCACCCATTCCAAAAACGGTAAAACACTAGTGTATGTACACATCGATATGCATTGTGTATATACAAATACTCACGTTTCCCTTGCGATGATCTTGCTCCCGATGGCTGCCTGTACAGCTATCTCAAACAGCTGCCTGGGTATGCAGTCTTTCAGCCTTTCACACAAGGCTTTGCCAGCAGAGTATGCCTTATCTCTAGAAACAAAAAAATGTTTACAGACTGAAGTTACAGTTTCCGGTTCCTTTTAAAAAGGTTCATCAGAATCCGGTCTTTTTAATTCTGTCTTGGGTCACCAGAATCATAGTTTGTTTACAGTACCAAATATTTTATTCCACTCTACCTACGATACAGCTAATTTTTTTTTTACTGAACTGGTATCTGTCTCAAGGCTACAAACAGCAGTCTGACATTTTTATTTCAAATCTGGTGACAGCTTTCCGCTAATCCTACATAGTTCGATTCTTCTGACTTGAAAGCGATCTCGTGGAAGCCTTACTTGTGGACAACAGTGATCAGCTCCTCGACTGGTTTCCCATTCAGCAAGATGTCCATCTTTATGAGGTCTGCTGGCTGGTAGCCTGCTTCTTCATAGTCAAAGCTACGAAGAGCAATCATCATAAACAATCATACATGCCATTGTAATTAAACCCGTTTTCCTCTTTATCAATCACCAATACAATTCAATACAGACACTGCTCACTTGACGACCGAGTTCCGTTCCTACGACTAGTCAATTAATGACGAGCCGTCCTTTACCAGTATTTCAAGCATACTGTACTGGTAGAGGATTTGTGTCGACCAACTTTAGATATTGTTTTAATGTCACCTTTGCACCATTTTTAACATTTTATTTATACATTTATTTTTAAATATGTGGGAGGTAATATAATGAATACTGTGCGACTGTGAGAATGAGACAGACTGAGAAAGGGTGACGCTGAGATTCTGCGCTGCTGTTTCCACGACCAAAGTTCTCGTGCAGCATTCGAGAGCTGGTCGTAAGTCTGCGCCGTCGTTAAACAGGGGACATTAACTGAGGAGTGACTGTACTTGATTCAAACTTAGTTCTTGATTTCAGGGAAAATATAATTTGAGATCAGTGACTATGCTAATATGTAAGGTGACAGAATTAGTAAATGTTGAAAACAGAAGTGGCATCTTGCCTGCCGTATCCAGAAGACAGCGACTTTAGGTGATCGTAAAAGTCCACGATGACTTCATTCAGGGGAAAGAGGTACTTCATCATCACACGCTTGTCATCAATGTACAACATGTTCTTCTGGATGGCCCTGTGATTCTGAGAGAATGCATCAGACAAAACTATTTACTGGTGTGAACTTAACTGGCTGGTTTTTTGGGTTTAACGCAGAGTAAATGTGCTTAATCAGCCAGCAAAATAATGCACGGTGCATGTGTATCCTGATATTATACTTTCAGGGCAGTGTGTGGAATTTTCATGGTCCCCTTTGCACATTTCCTGAGTAGTCTGGCTTCCAGAAAACCTCAGACATGGAAGTGCGATAAACTGGCATCTCAGTATCGCCCAATGAGTATGTGATTGTGTCCATGTGTGCCTTGTGATGGCCGCGCATCCATGCTCATCAGGGCTACTAGGTTAGTAAACTTAAACCATAGTCATTCCATGCAACCCAAAATCCCAAGGAGACCCCTGTGTAGACACCTGGCACAGGGTCATGATTTTGCCAATGTACTCATCGGGAGTGATGATGGTCCCCAATACCATGGGTTCCAGATACTCCGATACCACGGAGCGGTCAGGAAACTGGGCTGGGTTTATGATGGTGATCTCTTTCTCCCCATATTCCTGTATTAGATCAGAGAAGATGATCAGGGTGATTGTTTACAGGGGTTTGAGTGGAGGTAATGCGCAGCAGCTCCCCCCGAGGATGGGCGCCTGCCTTGATGAGCTTGGCCGATGAGAGGATGGCTTTGTACGGGACGGTGGGCGTCGTCACGATGACCGAGGCGTTGTACTCCTGCTCCAGACGCTGGTTGAACACCTCCATGTGCAGCAGCCCCAAAAAACCCAGCCTGTAGATGGAGATAATAAAAAAAATGCACCCAATGCATGACTTCAAGACTGTACTCGCACTTGGCCCAGTTGCCTTGTACTGTGCCCAAGCATGATCACCCCCTACTGGTCTGTGCTCATATCGCGCTTAACGATCCTGGCCTGAGCACACTTTCATCACCCCCGTGGAACTTTTTGTGTTGAAGATGACATAGGAAGAAAAGTGCACAATGGAATTCATGATTAATGTCCTCATTGTGTGACTAACACAAAGATTTATCTAGTATGCAACACGGCAATTTTTATTTTTTCGTGCCACAAATATAAGATGATATCTTATTTAGTGTGTTGCATCTAGTTGCTCCTGGATACTCTCATCAGCTCAACTTTCCAGAAAAAACCTGTAGACTAGTGTTATATGGGGTACTGGTATTGAAATGGTACCAAATTTTTAAAGCTGTTCAGTATTACACTTCTTTAGTACCAGTACTAATTACAGTATTGCAAACATTGTTAACACTCGAATCAGAATCATGGACTCAGTATGTCCGAACCATTGCCGAAACTCAGTTATACCCTAGGTCTATACTAAGTCGGAATTGCATGCATCATACAAACTTGATTTACCTGCTCTAAGTGTTGTGCATAAAAATACGTGAAGCTACTAAAATATCAGCTAGTTAAAAATTATCGGCTTAGCGTCAAGTGATTTATGTAAGGGACTTTATAATACAGCAAACAGGCTACGTTAACATCATCAAACTAGCATCTATACCTACAGGATGTTATGCTACGCTGTTAATCAATCAGTTAATCAATCGAGCATAATGTGCTGTGGGGAATTTTTATATATGTTTACTGAGCAGATGAACAGCAGAAAGCAAAAGAAACTGCTGTAAACTTTATGGGGGCTTCTCTCATATTACCCGATCCCTTATTTATGGGGGCTTCTCTCATATTACCCGATCCCTTATTTATGTATTTATTTTTTACAGCGGAGAGTAATGGTGATGAGTCTGACCACGGCAGAAATACGTTTTACATGCCCGCGGGTTTTTTTCTCCCATTCGTCAGCGCAATGCCGTCTCAAAATAGTGATCGCCCCCCCAGCCCCCAATACTCTGCTTACATGCAATGCTCTGTCCCTCCTGCATGCATTTTTAATAACGATAAGGCAGACGTACATAACAATCCGTGGAGGACATACATTCCATTCAGTTTATAAAGTGTATTATCATTCTTCTTGCAACTGAATGAATCAGAGCGATCATAATGCGATTCTTGGCAATATTAGGGTATGTGCAGTAGTGGAGTGAAGCTTAATTAGAATTAATTAATGAAAATTTAAACAGTAGCAATTTAAATGCGCAAGTGCAATATTTACCATGAAAAATACTTAACTTTTTTCATAATTGTTGCAGTACCAGTATTGTGATACTTACTAACTGTGATCGGGCCCGCCTCTTCAAGTGGGCCTGAACACGGTATGGAGCGATTAGGCTAATCGAATAAACTGGACTTTGGGGGTCAATCGTACGGTACGGATCACCTAGTGCGAGAACACCCAAAGTATCGTGCCCGGAGTGCCTCGGACATCACTGCCCGGAGTGCCTCGGACATCACTGCCCGGAGTGCCTCGGACATCACTGCCCGGAGTGCCTCGGACATCACTGCCCGGATTGCCTCTGACATCACTGCCCGGAGTGCCTCTGACATCACTGCCCGGAGTGCCTCTGACATCACTGCCCGGAGTGCCTCGGACATCACTGCCCGGATTGCCTCTGACATCACTGCCCAGAGTGCCTCGGACATCACAACGTGAAACCTTTTTCAGACAGATCCCTACCTCCAGCCGGCTCCCAGGGCATGGCTACTATCCCTCTGTACCGTCACACTGGAGTCGTTAAGCGTCAGTCTCTCCACCGCACTGCGCAGGGAGTTATACTCCGACTGGTCTGTCGGATACATGCCTGGCCAGGGAGAAGCGGAATGAGAGGCAGGCATCTCACCTTAACCGACTTGTACATCCGCAACTGGTCATCTCTTACAGAGCCAAGTGTAGTCATCGCGCTTGTGATACATACCGGCAAACACCATCGCTTTCGCGGGTTTAAATCCCGGCAGGGGTTCGACGGGATGCTTCTGGAGAAACAGGGTGTCCCCAATCTGAGCCTCCTTCACCTCCTTCATCCCTGCAATCATGTAACCCACCTGCCCAGCGAGCCTGCAGGGCAACAAGTCTACTCACATGAAGCCAAACATCTGGGCTAACATAACAATAGATTACTGTTCAATAACGACTGGTTTTATTTTTTTTATAATGTACAAAGCACAGTACAGACAACTTTGGTATTATTAGGATTATGAAGGAA